CTTGCTTTTGTTACTTTGTTCTGAGGTTTTCCTTTGAGAGGTGAATCCATTCAGCCTCTTCCGTCACTTCACCTTGCTTTCCACCATGCTTCTGTTAGGCTTTTATTCAGGATGCTGCAATCAAACCATCCTTTTCACCATCTCTCTAGCTACTTTGCTCTTCATCTCTGCTCCCTTGAAGCACACAAACTGTCAGCACTGACTGTGCCGATTGCACATTGCAAATAGACACTTGCCTCCACGGGACTTCCCGTCTTCAGCTTTGCAGGAAACTTGCATGAGGAAGGTAGCATGGAAATGCTTCCTTCAAAAAAAAAAACCCCAGTGTTGGGATTTGAATGCAAAACTATCCGTTTGCCTATGGATGCATGAGGGGGCAGAACTTCCCTGGATCAGCAATTTCAGGACAAATATTTGCATGATGGTAACTTGGAATTGCATGAAAATGGCTCTTTGCTGGAAGAGGGTGACAGTCAGTGCCCTGGCTGTGTCCTGTGGGCATGCTTATACTCCACATACCTTTGCAGCACTTGGGTAAAAGCTGTTTGCTTTGCTGATGGAGACACAAGGACCTTTGGAAGAGTTACTGGAGAGTGAGAAAAAGATCAGCCTTGTGTGCTGATAAAATAATCAGTTAAAGTCCAGTTACAGAATCATTGCTGTTGGTGGTGGAGTGCGAACCGGAGCCCCAGGAGGTTTGCAGAACTGGATGTTTCACAGCTTATTTTGCAGATATCTAGAATAAGTTTGTTTGTGCCCTGATTCATTAGGATCCTCCTTCCTGGTGTGCCGTTTTGCAACCACAGTTAATTGCAGAATGGAGAAGCTGGTGCTCTCACTACTGGACTGCACTTGCAAAAATACAAGCTGAGTTGAAGCTCTTTTAGAAATCAGCTTTCCAAAGTTAATTTTAGCCTTCAGCGTAAACTCAAGGGGGATATCTGTGGAGCTGTCTTCATTTTGGCTGTGGTAGATCTCTGCAGCATGATCTAATGCTCTAAACTCTCAAGTAGGCTGGAAGCAGTTAAACGTTTTTTTATTATTATTTTTAATGAGGATCTTTATCTGGTTAAAATGTACCTCTGCCCCCCCCGCCCCGGAAAATCCATATTTGTGTTCCAAGAACTGGGAAAACTTTCGCAAAAGAAAGAGCTTTAAATATTTTCCCTTTTTCACTAATTATGCTGCTTGTCTGCTTTTTGTGTATTTCTGTCACTGTAAGCGAAGCTGTTCCTTTGGGTTACAGAACTGCAGGGAAAAATTTTTTTATTATTTTAAAGCAAATCCATGAGATTTTTGTGTGCTCACTTAGCTGATGGAAACAGCAGTCTTGGAAATTTGGTTTGTAAAGATTTATTTGATTTTACGTTTCTGGACCAGATATAAACATGCCTCTTTAATGAGGTGTCTCTACCTCCACTGTAGACGAGCCCGCCTAAGAGGTTTGTTACCGTGGCCTCCAAGAGGTTGTTTAAAGGAAGTTAAGCAGCTTCTTCATTGTTTTCTTACCAGGAAGGAAATGAAGAAAAAGTTGTAGTTTAACAATTTTCCCTTTCAGGAAGGTCAGGGAGAGCTTTTCCCTTGACCACCTTCCCAGAGGGGACACAGGAACCGCCAGCCTTCCCTTGTCACTCATCTCCAGACCCTTGAGGGAAGCGCACCCCCTTTCTTCACTCCTTGACTTGGGCGTGTGGGTCAGTGTTGGCACATTAATTCCCCTCCTGTGCAGACATTATCCTTTTCCACAGCTATTTCTGTTCTTGTTCAGACTCACATCAGACTCTCACGTCCTGATTACTTAAGATTTCTTGAAATTTCTGAACAAAGTGTATGGAGCAGCTCGCAGTGTCGATGCCGCTGCCTTTGCTTGGAGGTCAGAAGGGACAAGGAGCTTCATATTAATTTAAAAGGTGCTTGTGTAAAGGACATTGGTGCCTGTTGGCTGAAGATATCCATTTGATAGTCTAGTCCACTCACAGTTTCCAGACACCAGACTTCTTCATGTCCTCAGCCATAGTCTTCCTTTAATAAATTAGTTTGCAGTTCCTTAAATCAGCACATGACAGGCACTGGGGTTATTGAACATGTTAATATATTAAATGCATTACCCCCTCAGCCCTTAAAGGCAAGGTTATGGCTGCACAGTTTATTATTATTACTGCTGTAGCAGACTCAGCGCTCTGCTAAGCCTCTTCTGGAAACTACAGAGCAGGTCCAACTGGCGGAAAGCTCCAAAAGAATTAACTGCTGTTATAGCAGGGCAGATTGATATATAGATTTGCAAAATGTCCCTGCACCCTGTGTGTGCTGGGGCCCTTCCTTAGCAGCTGGGAAGAGGGAAAGGGTCCGAGCATCCCTGTGGAGCCACTGCTGGGAGGAGGCTTGGTCCCCCGCTCCTCGGGATGTCACAAACCCCTGATGGGATGAGGACAGAGTTATCCTCAGGAATTTGCTGCCTGCTCCCTTATGCAATGTGGCGTGAGACGTGTCGCTGGGAACAGAAAATGACCCAGTGGTCCAGACAGGAGACACTGTGAGCAAAAGGGCTCTTTAACTTACCAGGGAAAGGTAAAAAAAAAAAAAAAGGAATGAGGGCTGGAAGTAAAAGACTAGCAAATTCAAGTGAAATATTAGCTGTTATTTTTTTAAACAGTGCAGCTATTAAGTCTCAGCACAAGCCTCAATGGGAAATATGCTAATTCTCTGTATTTTGAAATCTACAAATCCAGCCTGGGTACCTTTCTGGAAGATTAGTTTTCGGCTAGCACAAGTTGATAGGCTTGATCCAGAAGATGGCTAATATTTTATAGCCTGTATCAATACAGGCAGGCAGGCTAGGCGTTCAAATTCTCTCCTTTAATCTTTAAGTCAATAAGTATAAAAGATAATAAAAAAATTTTTAAAAATTGAAATCTTTTGCCCAATACATTATATAAATTAAAGCTTTCCTTCTCATAGAGTCTCACTTGGGGACTTTATCTCCATGCCGAGACCTAAATCAAGGCCTGTGCATTATTTAAGTCACACATAAAACCTATTTCAAGGTTTATCTGGGACAAAGAGTATTGGCCTGTGGCTGGTTCTCTGTGTATGAGTGCGTCTCACAGCAAAATGAGAGTCTGCTAGTTATAGAGTAGCTGTTGCTCTCCTTGCATATTATTTTAAAAGAGGAATATGATAATACTTAAGTCCTGGAAAGCTGTGAATGTTTGTATCACAATGTCGCCTTGGATGCTGAGATCATGCAGTTGGTCATTTGTTGGGTTTTTGTTGTTGTTGTTAAATTGTTCACATTTAATAGGAGAAATAGAAAGCATGGTGTATGCCCAATACAGACAGGATAATTTTTCCAGAAATCTTAATGTTTCTGTTCCCTACATTTTGCTTTAACTCCGCCACCTTTAAAATATGATAATGGATATTCTGAAAAATTAATTTCCCCTCTTTAAATTTAACTGGGAAATCACTTCTAGTCCTTACTAAGCTGCTTTAATGCTTTTGGAACACTAGAGTTATAGCTTACTCAAAACAACACAAGTATTTAAGCTGCTTTAAGTCCAGAATAAGACCTCACAACATCAGAAGAGCTTAAGCAGCCAGTAATGCATAGTTATAAGCAGGCGTAATGAGAGAGCTGTGCTGATAGTGTGTGTACTCCTCCAATGCAGCAATAGTTGGGGTGGGGTCACAATTTCCACTGATTCCTGAATGTATTTAAATATAGCCAGTTTATTTCAAATCTGGGAACTTTTCGGTAGACAATCCTTAGTGAAGACCACTTACCTGCTTAGGATTCAATATAACTGTTCTGCTATTTAAATCCTGCTTCCCCTCTTGCTAGTTTCTCTCTTGCTCCTTCAAATATGTTTTTTCCACTGTTTCCAAGGAAGCAATGCTATGTGGGTTTTGGTTTGTTTTTTTTTTTAAGTTGGGAGCCAGAACTCTGTAAGGCAACAAGTAGCTGTGAGTCCTTCCTTGTAGGATTCATATCCAGCTTTTACTTAGGCAAAGTGGTGTTGATTTTACTGGCAATTTGCCGAAGGACTTTAGCATTTAATCCTGCCAGCATTAATTAAGGGGTCTAAAAACACAAATTGTAAGAAGAACCCTGATAAGATAAATAGCATTGTCCTCCAAATTGCTCCCAAGATGGTAACTCAGCTTCTCAGCTGGTGTACATAAGCCTCGAGCTTTTAAATTCCTTAAAATGATGCAAACTTAGGTCAGATGTGAATCCGGCCCACTGAGTCTCCCTTCCCTAAAAGGATAGCAGCATCCCTATTTTGTTGGAATTTCTTCTTGGTGTGCGTGCAGGGTGCTGTGCATGGATAGACCAGGGGGATTTGCACCGAGAGCTTTGCAGGCTTATCTTGTTCATCAGCGCATATGGGTATTACCTTATCTAACCAAATCAGAATGAAGGAAGATGGAAAGCAGAGTAGAAAAAAGTAGAAGGGGAAAGAAAGCAACACTTGCTATGAATTGGTACTTTGGTATTTTGCATAAACTCATTCGCACAGGGGGTTTTGGCATTGCCTGTGCAGTGCCTTCCAGCTCGTGCCTGTGCAGGCAGCCTGGGTGGGGAGGGAAGAGGAGAAGCCGTGGCATTGCCTTGCACAAGGACTGTTGCCTCCAGTGAAAAAAAATAAAAAAGGAAGTGACACTGATGGCTTCTGGCAGAGCTTGTCAACCCGAACCATTGCTCAGGGTGGAGCTGAGTCAAAGCAGAGGTGAATGAAGTGATGGGCAGAGAGCTGCAGGCTGCAGAAGCAGCCGCCTGGGCTCCCCGTGTCTGCCCAGATCCTGCAGCAGCAAAAGGGAGAGTGTGTGTTCGCTGCGAACAGCACTGGAGCTAAGGCAGCGGGGAGGAGTTGTGTGTATAACCAGCCTTTGGACATCTGAAGTGGCCAAGGTGGCTGCTCTATGCCTCTGAGGACCAGAGTACGGGGTGACTGCAGTCTTGCCCAAAATATTGCATTCAACAGCCCCCGCCCCGAGTAATTAATATTATGCCCTCCCGGTTTAGCCAAAGCCAGATGCAGGTAGCCCAGTGAATTTATGAGCTTGTTTTGGGGATGTGGTAGCACCAAAATGTCTGGTGGACCTCCCCTCCCCATTCTTCCCACCATGGGGATCACAGCTGAATTCCCGAGGTGCCACAGACCATAGCTTAACCAACAATCCCCTGCTCACACCAGGCATTTACTTGGGCTTATTTTCTGTGTTTATTGTCATTGGAGGGAAGCCAGTTAGGGATTTTGCTGTGGTAACTGAGCAAAGATGGGTCATTTTTGCCAGCCAAGATGTGATGTGCCATGATGGACAGGCAGAAGCAGCAGGGTTTGATTTCAACAAACTGAGTCAGTTTGTCTTTTTGCTAGTTGGGTCCAAAATTAAATTCCAGTTCCATGAGGCCACAATTTGGACCCGTTGGATACTTTTCGGTGAAACAGTTTTTCACTTGAAAACAATGGTGATTCTCTGGAACCAGAGGTGTCCATGAGAGCATGCTGTTGTCTGACTGGGTGTATTTGTGTCCACAACAAAACTCCTGGTCCAAAGTGGACAAAGAGAGGTCTGATTCGGAGCAAGGACCTGAGCCAAGCTGGCCTCATCCTCATACCTGAGTGTCCTAACCATGGGGCTAAGGGTATTTAGGCACAAAGATTTAAAATAATAAATCTTTTTTATTGGAGCTATTTTGCTGCATTTAAATTATTAAACATCCTTTGAAGCCACATCCTAGGTGGGTGCCAGATACACAAGGATATATAGTCAGCCTTTGTCTCTCTTGGTCTTTCCTGTTGGAGCTATTCCATTTTGTATAAAATGGACTAAATAAATAATTCATGGGCTAAAGAGAAACTAACTTGGTAGCTAGATGGTTATGGCACTCTTCTGAGATGTGAGGGCATCATGGGTAATTCTCTGCTCCAATGAATAGTTGCTTATTTATTTATACTATCCGGAGCAGCAGGAGGAGAGGTTGATAGAGGCCCTCTATACTCCCACCCAGCTCAGGGACCAGGGGACTCTGTGGATTGCAGGATACCAGCTGAGGGACCTCAGTCCTCAGCTGGAGGTTATAATAAAGTGTGAGAATTCATTTTTTCCTCAATTTTTTTTTTTCTTTTTTTTTTTTTTTGTGATAAAAACAAGCCTTGTGTTCAGCACTACTCTCAAGTGTTAGCTAACAAGAAGGCTGATGGCACATCATATTGCTGCAGTGAATTTGGAGTGCTCAGCCAGCTCCTGGGCTGTGCTGGGAAATTAAACAGCCCTTGGTGGAGCTTCAGCAAGGGCCCAGGTTTCTTCTCGTCATCAGCTCAGCCCATAAAGAGGTGTAGGAGAGGAAAGGGAAAAATGGGACATTTTTTTCTTTATTTCTCCTACCCTTTATTTTTCTCTCCGTTCCACCTACCTACCTTTTCCCCCTTAGCAAAGGTTCCCCTTTGTTTAGCATTTCCCTTGGATATAGTAGGGTTAATAACTGTCTAATTAACCTGCCTGTAATTTGGGAGTTAGAATTAGAGAGATGCTCTGTGAGGCCGGCATGCCCACGAGTTATCCCATCACACGGTTGCAGAGCGGTAACAATGCCACCACATCCCGGACTCCCCCTTGCAGGGGCTGCTCTTTCCATCCCAGCCCCAAGAAAGCCTCGTTAGTGCTCAGCAGGTTTTTTCAGTGCTGCCAGACCCTGGTGCACAGAGCTTCAGAGGGTGTCCATGACTCCTGCTCCAGGGAGCTGTGAACTTTTGCCTGGCACTTCAGTGCATGCCAGAGCATCTGATCCATCTTGCTGGGAGGAGGGGGTGATTGTAGGTTTTTTCGCTGTTGCTGGCATCTCAAGCACTCATTTTGGTAGTACCAGTCTGCCCCGTGGTGCTAAGGAGCTCCTCACCTCCAGGCAGGTGACCCTGTGTGCCGGGATGAGGTGGGAGATGATGCTAGATTGAGTTGTGTTTCTCTTCCCTACTTTCCTACCATTTTTCTTTGCTGCACCATCACAATTCAGGACTTTTCTTCCCCCCAAACCCAAATGTGTACCCCAACAGTTTTTTCAGGTTGCACAACACCTGAAAGGTCACACAACCCTGCCAGCACCTCCTCTTCCACCCCAGTGCAGCAGCAAAGGAACGAAAGGGAGGACTTGGCCTTGTGTCACGGGGTATTTGCAATGAATAATGGTTTGAGGAGAGTCAGAGGCCTCCTTTGTCTGGTTCAGAGCCAAATTATTAACTTGTTACTGCTGAGCTTGCAAAAAGGAAAAAAAATAAAAGAAAAAAAGAGCCATATTCACCAAAATATGTTTTCTGCTTCTTTTCAGGGAATCTGACTAAACATATGAAGTCAAAGGCCCACAGCAAAAAATGTCAGGAGATGGGCGTGTTGGTATCTTCACTGGTGGATCTGGAAGCCGAAGAAGGTAAAATCTTTCACGTTATAAACCTGCTATTGCTGCTAAGAGAGGGCAGTATCCATTCAGGCAGGAGACGCGCTCCGCAGATCATCCTTTCAAAGACGTGGAGCAGTTTTGTTCACCCCAGGCTTCTTCCAGCACCCAAGGGGCGATTTCTGCTTCCATGGGGTGGGTGACGGGCCCATCCTGGGAGGCTGCATCCGTGGGACAGTCTGTGAGTCCGTGTCTCCCTGCTGGGGGTTGTGCATGTTTGTCTGAAGTATTTTGGCTGGCTGCAGACAGAGGCAAGAGTAAACAGACGGGTAGGGAGCATCCTGCGTTTGGCCCAGCGCTCTGCATGTGGGCTATATACATAATAATAAATAGTGGATCCATGGCGTGAGAAGGTGCTTCTTGGTATTTTGGGATATCTCTAGCAGGGAGTTCAGGAGCCTGACTGCCGTGCTCTGGAAGAGCCTGGGTCTCTCCTGGCCATAGAGGGAGTCTCCGAAGCAGCAAAATGAGACCCACCCCTGAAGATGCATTGCATGAGACTGTGAACCCCCACTTTGCTGCTGCAAGCACAGTCTGGTGGGTGAAGGAGAAAAATCAGTCCTGGCACCCCTGGTTATGATCTGACAGCATATTTTACTGGAGCTGAAGTGCTGAGCATGAGCGCAGGGGTGACCCTTTGGTGTGTGGCCTGTGCAGGCTGTGGTGATGTTCTTGCAGAGGGGATGCACTCCAGCAATACAGGAGTATCAGTGATTCGGGGGATACCTTCCTACTGAAAGGGCCTCCAGAGAAGCGTTTTTCCATAAGGATCATCTTCTAGGGACCTGCCCATCTTACTGTATTTGGCTAATTCCAGGAGACTCCAAATTACCAGTGCAAACCTGGGCTGCATCTGGAGGGACTGGTGCATGCATGAGCTGCTCCCGTCTCTGCAGGCAGACCCAGCCTGGACCCTGCACCACTGCTGGAGACCTCAGCATACCAGGATGGGGCGTGAAGCAGCTGCTTCCCTCATCCCTCACTCTCATGGGTCTTCTCCATGTGTAGGATGAAGGTGAATCACCCAGGCCAGAAATGATCTGGAAGATTTCTCAGTAGGGA